AGAAATGTCTTTGATGATGCACAGCTGTCTTCGTTTCTTAATCACAGATGTCTAAAGCATTCCAGGAGGCTGACTCATATACCTGGAGAGAGGGACCATGGTTTCTCATTCTTTCTACTGAAGCCCTTGTCTGGTCAAGAAGAGACCAATTTGTCCTTTGTTCTAGGAACTTAACTACAGGATGATCTTGAGTAAGATAAAACCTGACATTTCTTCACTACCATTTCCTTTTTGTTTTCTTACATTTGTCTCAAGCATAATGTGCAGCACTTAGTGATCTTTCTGCTCTGGAGACTCACTGAAGACAAGATCCCAACATGGCAAAACTTAAAAGAGTTTTCCCAGCAATAGCTGCTGTTTGCCGAAAAGGAAAGAGAGCATCCTGTGTTGTAGCCTACCATCCACTGAAGGAGACCAGTATGGACATCCAGGAGTTCTTGAGCTCCCCAAATAGTCTCAGATGAAAGTCAAGCCTCTGAGATGAGCAATTAAGAACCAAGATTTCTGAAGCTCTTTGTCATATGGTTCTCAGCTTTGTGACTCTAAATAGCTGTCTCTCCACAAAAGAATTCCATTATTCCACAATAGCAACTCCTCTTTTCTGATCTCCTGCAGCAGCAAGATCATTACTCACCACCTCAATCCATCCAAGGGCTTTCACTTGGAACCCAAAGTGCATAAGTAATTAAGATTTGTATTCTTTGAGGACAGAAATATCAACAAAGATGTAGCTGGCTTCTCATGTGAGAAAAATGCTTTCATACCTGCACAGTTCTACTTGGAAGGCCTATGCATTTTACTATATGTAAATTACACTTCAATTTAAAAAATTCTACTAGCAAAGACACCCATTCTCTCAGACACTTGCCCTTATCTTACAGCTACAAATAACAGGGTTCTCTGTCACCATCTACTTTGCCCCATAAACAAAGCAGTAAAAAAAAAAAAACCCTGAGTATCTTCCCTCCAACTAAAATTACATTATTTTTCTCAGTTAAATCTTCCATTCAATTACAATGGACCATCACTGGTCTGTATGGACGAGCAAAAGGTATAATTTACAAGAAACTTACAGAGCCGAAGAGATGAGAAAACTATAACCTTGAAAATTTGTGTGAGCATCTCAGGTCTTACACAAACCAGCGCCTAGAGAGCAGGCCTCCAACCTCCCTCAGCCTGCAGTGGAAAGAGCACAGTGGTCTCAACGCCTAACAGAAAGAATGGACATTTTTTTGGCCAAGCATGGTGGCTCACTATAATCCCAGCAATTTGGGAGGCCGAGGTGGGTAGATCACCTAAGGTCAGGAGTTCGAGACCAGCCTGGCCAACGTGGTGAAACCCATCTCTATTAAAAAAAATACAAAAAAAAAAGACTAGCCAGATATGGTGGTCGGTGCCTGTAATCCCAGCTACTGGGGATGCTAAGGCAAGAGAATTGCTCGAACCCAGAAGGTGGAGGTTGCAGTGAGCCAAGATCACGCCATTGTACTCCAGCCTGGGTGACAATAAACCTCTGTCTCAAAAAAAAAAAAAAAAAGAACGGACATTTTTAAAATGTATATAGTCCCAGCGCTGAACAACTACATTCAACCACCAAAAAATTATTCCCAATAAAAAGATTTATCTCAAGGAATAAATAACATTAAATCAAGAATTAATAAGCAGTCAGGCGATTTGAGATTTTATTGAGAAAATATCTATTTTGACATTATATGCAGTTTCTGATTTATCAGAATAAATTCTTTACAATATCGATCACCATCACCACTTTAGTGTATTTATACATAGTCTCTGAATAAAATACAGTGACACTCGGCAAGGCTAGAATATTGAAATTATGGCCAACATTGCTTACTTTAAGATTGTTTATAATGAAGCTATAGTAGTTGTGCAACTAGAACAGATGTTTTAAAATGTCTGCCATTCAAAGATAGGCTTGGTGGGACAAAACTAATATGCATACTGCATACATATATTTCTTTTCTTTACTGTCAATTGATCAGACACTAACGTGACATTACAAGCACCTCAAATTCCCACTTCAAAAGGAATAGAAAAATGGGAAAACATGATTTCCTGTTTCACAAAATTAAAAATGAAGTCAGAAAAGAAGTAAAACTGATTTTTATGCATTTAAGATCTTGAGTACACTACTCCTTCTCTTGGAGAGAAGGAAGCCAGTACTGCAGAAGTAACCAATAGGTCCAAAGAACGAATGGCCCCATGACCTTCTCTATGGTTCATGACTTGCTGAGGGCTGATGCAAACACTGGCAAGCTATTTTTCATGATCTCCAAGGATCTGGGATATATAAACGAAATGATTAAAAGACATTTCTCTGAATTTGTGAGAGGAAGACTGAAGAATCAGAACAAAGATCCAACTGCCTTTCATGTGGCTACATGTCACCATTACACCACAACTCAGAACTCACAGGCGAGCCTTCTTTCATATACACATTCAAAACGGTGTTCCATATATGCAGTTGTATACATTGCAAAAACAAAATACTTCCTTGCACATGATTAGTAATCTGGTTTCAGACTCTGAAGTGAAATCAAGCATATTTAGTTAACTCTCTCCAATTTGGAGGCCTAGTGAGGTTTAAATGTTTTTGGATATAGAATCTGCTTAGAATTTAGTGAAAACTATGAACCTTAGACTGTCTTCAGTAATGAACAAAACTTGAAAATATTAAACTTCCTTTGCTTTGTCACTGAAGCAACTATAGGCTTTCTACGATGTATGTATCATACCAGCTTGTATGCGACTTTAGTGTCATAAACACCCATTGCCTTTTTGGCACTTTTAAAGCACAGCCAGGAAAGGTCTGGAAAATTGTTCTGGAAATACAAGTTCCCTCTGCCTCATGGATGCTTAGGAACTGGTTAGTCCTCTGAAACCACCAGTTTAGACCCCTGTACAGTTGTTCCAGGCCAACTGAGATTCTAAGGAAAGGGGATGGAATAACCAGGGGCCTCACAAATGCCTAAATAACCACACATCTATGCCCACAGCCATCCCTCTCTAAACGCCAGAGTTCAAGTGAGTCTTGACCTGTCTCTTCCCATTTTACTACCACTGGCTAGAGGGGCACCCAACAATAAGAACCCTTTGCAACGAACATAAACTAGCAAAAACACTCCAGGGCTGCATTTCCTTAGATGTATCTCTCAGAACACAAATCCCACAAGATACCTACTTTTAAAAAAATCTGGCTGGGTGCAGTGGCTCACACCTCTAATTCCAGCATGAATTATGCTGGAAGTCATGCTGGCCTTGTGGGAGGCCAAGATGGGCAGATCACCTGAAGTTAGGAGTTCAAAATCAGCCTGGCCAACATGGTGAAACCCCATGTTACAAAAATTAGCTGGGTGTAGTGGTGGGCGCCTGTAATCTCACTTACTTGGGAAGCTGAGGCAGGAGAATCACTTGAACCCAGGAGGGAGAGGTTGCAGTGAGCTGAGATCGCACCACTGCACTCCAGCCTGAGTGACAAGAGCAAGACTCCTTCCCAAAAAAACAAAACCAAAAACTCCATATAAATTAGGGAAACGATGTATAAAATAGAGGTGTTTCTTGGAGATTGAAAATGCACATTGGCATGTCAAAGGTTCTGAAAGGCCAACAGTAACTCAACTTTGTCTAACCCACTGTTTCCCAAACTTACTTGGCCATGGAACCCTCTATTCACCTAACAATATGTTCTGAAAAAAACACTCCTTAAAAACTGCTGCTCCCAGAACCAAAAAGATTATTTTTAAAAAATATTATAGCATAATTTCAAATGATTAATAATAAGGATACAGACTTATTTTCCTGTCTTGTTATTTTGTTGTCTATTTATTTTGTTCTGAATAATCTTCTATCACATTTCTCTTCCTGTTCACAAACCTTCAAATCCAGTTACCCTTTCTGATACCTTTGTTTAAGAATGTTAATTCTTGCTGGGCGCGGTGGCTCACGCCTGTAATCCCAGCACTTTGGGAGGCCAAGGTGGGTGGATCGCCTGAGGTCAGGAGTTTGAGACCAGCCTGGCCAACATAGTGAAACCCCATCTCTACTAAAAACACAAAAAATTAGCTGAGTGTGGTGGCAGGCGCCTGTAATCCTAGCTACTTCGGAGGCTGAGGCAGGAGAATCACTTGAACCTGGGAGGCAGAGGTACAGTGAGCTGAGATTGTGTCACTACACTCCAGCCTGGGCAACAAAAGTGAAACTGTCTTAAAAAAAAAAAAAAAGAGTGTTAATTCTTATCTGAAATCCATGGCACACTAGTCTGGAAAAAAAAAAATTTGTGTCCTTTTAAATTCCTAGAGTACCTCTCTACTTCAATCACAATTTAATTCCAGGGCAGGTAACCTGGGCTCCTAGCAAACACTACACCCCAAGAGTTTGGGGGCCAAATTATTTTGCAAACCCTTAAAAACAAAAACTAAAAAAAAAAAAAAATGTATCCTTGTATCTCTGCGAAAATTAGCATTTTGAACATCTAATGAAACTTCAAGTTTGAGGATAATGGGATTACTGACCGTTTGATTTCAAAATAACAAATTTTCTTAAAATCTGATTAAGAAATATGGAAACACTGAAAAGTAAACATAAATTCCACAAAGCTGAATGGCAGTTAAAAAATACTTCTTTATATCAAGAACATATACGAAAAACCGTCATTGCTATCCAAATTATCTCTGTTGCTCAAGATTTCAATTATAAAAATAACCAAATCAAGACAAGGACAATTACAGCTTAAAACGAAAAGCTACACCTTCTTCATTAAAAGTGAGCATCCTGTCACACTGTGCAACTGGAGAGAGAACCAGTACAAGGCACGGGAGAACTACCACGTCAAGGGACAGAGCTTTTTCAAAATATTTTATCCTCAGAAGTAAATCCCGCTACCATAGAAAGAGAAAAATATAATCAGATACTTAAAATCACAGCATTTTTAACATCCTAGGGAAAAGGACTTTTTGGTTTTAGTTTTTTTTTTCCTTTTCTGGTAAGGCAAAATAGATCTTTAGATATCATTTGTTACAAACACGAGTTTTTTCTTAAGAATGAAATAACAATTGTATTTCTATCATATATTTATTAAACTAAGTTCAATACTGTTTAGAAAATTAAATTTTAAATCATAGTCTATATAATGATAGATTTAATCTATGAATTTACTTTAAAAATATTTTTATTTTGAATAATTAGACTCACTAGAAGTTATAAAAATAGTTGAGAGAGATCCCAGGTACCCATTGCTTAGTTTCCTGTCTTTACATGTAAGCATTTATATCTGGGTTTTAAAAGGATTAAAGTTTGGAACAGTTGATTTAAAAAAAAAAAAAATCAGAAAGATGTAACAGGCCTGGTAAATACATACTTTTGGAGGAGGTTCTCAGGAAACACTACCAAGTTCAAATCCCACTTTTATCACATGAAGCTGCCTTAACCAAAAGGTTTTCTAAGATACTATCCCTGTTACCTATTTCTGCTTCTTTCAATAGTTTTTCCATTTTTACAAACTTATGAAAATTTTTCTCTGACTGAAATAAGCTTCCCCATTCCTTCATGTTACTATATCTAACAACATTGAACGAATACAAATTATAAATGGAAATACAAATGCTTGCTTTTATAAAATCTCCAGCTTTCCAGTACCCCCAAAATAATATAAACAGACTTGAGTTGAAATTTGGTTTGTTAATGCCCACCTTCTGCGTGGTCAAAACACAGTTTTGAAGGAATGATCACCTTCAGTGTTCTTTATAGCTTCTTTAATGTTACTTTAAAAAGTCCCGTCTTACGGATGAGTGAGGGCAGTTTGTTCATGGAAGATCTTCATCTCATGGGAATTATCTGGCCAGTTTTTCTAATCATATACTACCAACAAAAATAAACACAAGCATATTCCCTTTAATTATATTATCCTCCACCATCACTTCCAAAAGACATTGGCTCACAGTATTCTGTTTAAGACTGTAGACCATTTATCCCAGCAAACTCACACTTTATCCACAACCTATCATGACAGGCTGGTCAGAAGTGGTCTGTTCAGCCTGAGAAAACATTCTTTTCTAAGAACTTCCTATATTGTGTGGCTGGTCCCTCAATTACTTTGTGCTCAATTACAGCTTCCTGTCATCTCATCTGTTTATACACAAATAGCTCAACTAAGTAACCCAATATATAAACTCTCACTAAAATCACATGTTGTATCTTAGGAAAGGAAATCTGGAAGTATCATGGACCACAGCGAGAATGTAAGGCTACTGACAGTTTGAAATAGGGATGACACAAAAGCAAATAAATCATACTGACAGTCATTCCCTCTACAAAAAGACAAATATTTGTTATTCTAAAATGACCTCCTCTGATTAAAATTTTGATTCATGAAACATTACAGTATGCTTCTTTATCAAAGTCTACATATCAGAAGAACATGGGCTCCATGTTCTTGCAAAACTTGAAACACATTTTTCTTCCTAATGGACATCAGTAGTTTTATTAAAAGAAAAACTGACATAACCTAGCATTATCTTTTAACTTTGCCCATGGAGAAACTTGGAGTTAAATTTACCTCTTAATTTTAGAACCTGTCAGTGCTGACATAGTTCTATCCTCTACAAATTTTTAATTTAAATTTTTAATTTTTTAAAATTCCTTAAAAATTTAAAATTTTAAATTATAATTGTTCTGTTTACATGTAATATACTTGTAATATACATGTAATGTACATTATAACTGTAATATACTTCAAATACTTTTGGAGAGTCTGATATAAATCATAATTAAAAATGACTGGCTCTGATCAAAGCATAAACAGATGTCTGATGAATGTGCTAACCACCCTTCTCCAATATACATCCATCCTAGAGAACAATAAAGTCTCACAGTCATGATTTCCAATATAAACTATTTAGATTTCAGACTGCTGAAATCTAATAATCTGCCTTTGAAGATGACTGAAACACACACATACACACATGCACACACACACACACACCGTTGTAGAAGTAATGTGCATCTCATGAGGTACTTTCCCTAAATACATCCAAACAGATGACCAAGATTTTGAAGACTACCTTATTTCTCATTTGGTTAAAATTTTCAAGAAAAAATATTTACAATGACTTAAGGAGTCCTGTATAAATAGCTACCTAAATACAGAACAAATTGAAAGGATGTGGGTCAAACATAGCTGAGCTCTACTCAGCTGAAATTAGATGAGTCTTTTGACTACAAAGCTCATTTTCTTAACATACCGGCTTTCTGCAGGACTTGATAAGATTGGCTAAGCACCATAGTAATCTTTTAAGACATTAATCCAAAACATGGTTCTGTATTTTAAAAACCTCAGAAGTGGTTTTAGGACAACAGAAGCATCTCAACCACTAAAATAAGCAAGTTTCTATTATAAGTAAAATTACCCCAGCACATCCTTTAACAGTTCAGCAACCAATAAATAGAAAATATTCTTTAAAAGCTGCTATTTCTGATAGTTCCTTTGTATTCTCCAACTGCAGGTAAAACATATGACATATGGAAAATAATTGGTTGTCAGAAAGCTTTTGACTGCATGATATGCATCTTATGAAAGAATATTAGCCTGGGCCAAGATTAGAGAACTTGGACCAGATGCACAGTAAGTATTTCTACTACCCTGGCTATGGGCTCCTCCTGAATAGGGTCTAGCAATTGAGCAATTTCAGTAACATGTGATAGCTTAGCATAGTAACGATGACCACTACGTTCGGCTCTCCTGGAATTAATACAAGAAAGACAACTAAAGATTTACTACAAAGACATAAGTCTCAAACTGTCACATTTGCCCAAGAAAACTAAAAGAACCCATCCTAACCCACATTGAACACATCAGCAAAGACCAATATCATACTGAAGTGCATATTATCAGATGTTATTTTATGTAACCACCTCTAATATTTATCTACTGTGCTACTAAACCCCCAAAAGATTAGACTTGTGAGAGCATAATTAAAAAGCACATTCCTTATCACTTTTTAAAGTTAAATATGGTCTCTTCTATTGAAGCAATTTATCTTTTTCTGGTTCCTAAAATAGGCATCAAATTTCTAAACAGAAGTAAAAAGCCTCAGCCAAAGAGCCACATATTATGTATTCTGGCTGATCTAAGAAAACTAAGTTAATAAACTGAATAAATTAACTCAAATAAATTAGGAGTGCACATTCAGAACAGAATTCGTAGCTTCTGGTCAGCAACATGTGAACCAAAGGCAAAAATCTGCCATGAATAAGGCAGCTTTTTTGTATACAGTACAATGTGTTTTTCTTCCCCCCACCCACCAAGTTCATTTAGCATTAACTGATGTTATTTAAAATGCACTGCCAAGCTAGAATACAAGCTTCTTAATAATAATATTAATAATAAAAATAGATGTCATAGAAAGTTCCTTTTGGTTAGTCTTTCTTAATACCTAAGCTTGCTTTTTGCCTTCATACACTAAGTCTAAGAGATTACTGCAACAATCGTTTGACTTTGGCCACAAAGCATGACTACTGTCAGGGTGAAAGCCGTTGGAAGGAATTGTTTTCTTCTTCTGCTGGAGTCAGTTTAAGTGTTGGCAGTTTCCGAGGAGGAAGCTGAGGGCTTTGGCGAAGATTGTCATCCATCTGTAGAAAGTACAAAAGATACATCTGACTAATGCTGTGGCACCAGCTTACGTGGACTGTGGCCTCCCCATCTGAACTATAGCCTAGAGGAGTACAGAACCATATGTTTCCTGGGCTGCTAGAGAAACCTTTTTCTTGCAAATAATCTCAAGAATTCTAAATGTCATATCTCAAATACCAGCTGACTCAGTTTCTGCAAAAAGCAATGTGCCTCATCCCTGATACCTTCACATACCTTCACAGAATTATAGTAAGTTCCACAAAATAAATATTCTACTGAACTCAACTATAGCATAACTTAAAGAGGTCTTATGATAGTAAGCATAAAAGCAGTACTGTTACACTAAGCTCCAGTTTGCAAACTGTTTATGTACAATATCTTATTTGATCTTCCTGACACACTGTGAAGAAAAGGCAGACAGATCTTCCCTGTTGTACAGATAAGAAGGAAAATGAGACTCCATAAGGTTAAGTGATTTGCCCCAGGTCACATCCTAGTATGAGAGCTGAAACTTGAACCCAAGTCTTCTGATTCCAAAACTATTATTCTTTCAACTATACTTCTTTGCCTCAATGAAAATGACCTGTATTCCAATCAAAAAAGACCAGCTTTTATAAGCCAAGACGGTGTAGACCAAAGAAAGCTAGGAAATTGGGCAAAAAGAAAGATAAATTCTTTAAATCTAATCTAATCCAGAAGCATTGCATCAGTTCTAAATGAGATAACCCACATCAAGCTCAAGAAACACAGTGCTGGACCTCAAAAACTCTTAGCCAATGTCATTAGGCCTAATTGCCCTGAGTTTGTAAAATAATAAGTATTACTTAATAGAGCAGAAAAAAAAAGCAAGTTTATCAGTTCCTGAGGGAAAAAAATATGTAACCTCTTGTATTTTTCCAACTAGAATCACACTTGAAATTTCCTTTGTTGGCTCTCTCCCTTATCCAGTTCCCAATCTCTCTCTCTCTTATGAAAGAATACCCCAAAGTGGCAAAATATCTACACTGGTGAAAAACTATAGACTGCATCTAGAGTATAGAAGAACAAGAAGGAGAAAAAATAAAACTTTCATATGGAACAAAGAAAAGGACATCGTGGTGCTGTTCATAAGAAAGGATAAGCCCGGTGCTTACAATCTCAAGAAACATTAACTTAAGAGACAGAGAGGCAGACACGCAAGCAAGAAGTGTTTTTGCTTTGTTTTTTTAAAGCAAATCTTTTGGATTTCCCAGCTTAAAGGGTACTAATCGTGTGGCAAAAGTAAACCCAATACCCTTTTATCTGATCTTTCCCCAAAGCAACAGGGCCACTATTGGCTTCAGAACACTACATTACATACAACTTTAGTAAAAGCATATTCAAACAGTTTTCTGAAAAATAAACTGTTTAAAAACCTAAAAGGGTACAGTTAATGTGTGACCCAAATGACATTATTAGCTACAGAAAGGAAAATGCTAAACTATGGTAAAATGATTGAAGCAGACTTGACCTTTTCAATCAAGTTGGATTCCTTATTTACAAGTTGTGTGAGTTTCTGCTAGATTTGCATCTACCGTATCTTGTCCAGCTGGAGAGAGGCCTAAGAACCCAGGACAGAAATCAGAGAGAGACAGGAAATTTTTAAAGCATTTAAAACTGTTTCGACTTGAAAGAATTTTGAGTCTACCCACCCTGTCTAGTGCCCCACCCTTCCCAAAAAAAGGTAAAGAGAAAAAGCCATTCTGCGTTTAAAGGTAAAGTTAAGAGAGGGATATGATCCAAAACTAAACCCTGAGCAAAAAGGATGAAAATTTGCCTATTAAATAGACACTGCTAACCAAGTGTTCCGCAACTGGCCACAGTAATTCGTATAATTTTAATAAAAAGAAAAAAAGCACAGCAGTCCTCATTTCCTTCTCAAATTTAAGCTATTCCTTTCTCACACCCATTTCAAATAGGTCTTCAGTCACAACTATCTGGATAGTTTTCTAAGGCAGTAACTCCCAAAAAGTTGCCCACCAGACATCCAGAGTATTTAGAAGAACTTAAAAAATACAAATTCTTAGGACTGACGCCTAAGAGATTCTAATTTAGTAAGTCTGGAAAGGCCCAAGTGTTTTTATCTGTCAAATAGTCAGGTTTGTTCATCATTGCTACCAAGTAACAAGGTTGAACATACTTAATTTCATGACTCCCAACTGCTAACCCCTTCTCATATACAACACATACCCCACCTTTAAATAATAAACTGTCCACCTCAGCCAGCTATCTTTATAACCTGTTTCTTAAAAGGACAATTTCAGCCAAGCCCTCCCAATAGAAATTTAGTATCTGGATCACTTAAGCATAATGCCCCACTGTCTCAACAAAGCACATCCTAACTGACAGGTGCTCTCTATTTACTATACCTCCATTCTGATGCAATCAGTTTTCGAGTAGTGGAATCATGGGAGTGTACCTCACCAAAATCAATCTGCTGCTGATATCTGTTCACGCAGGAAAATGCTAGAAGCAGCAGGTAAGAATCATTTAAAGTAATTGCCCATTTGCAATTAGGATAAATACTGTTTTTCAGCGAAGACTTAATACCTGTGGTTTTAACCTTTTAGAAGAAAATGACCCATTTCAAAGGGGCAATATTTAAAGAACAAGCAGCAAGAAATGCAAAACTCCAGAGGAATAAAAGGCAACTACCTATTTCTCTATTTAAATAAGAACTAACATGAGAATAAAAATGAAGTTGGAAAAATACAAATCCTTGAAATCCTATAAAACACTATTAAGACACCACAAAAACTTTTAAAATTAAAATTAGTGGATTTTGCTTATACATCCACAGGAGAATATGCAAACAAACATTAGCTGAAGAAGAGTCAGCTTACCTCCAAGACTAATCCTAAAATAACTGCTCAGGATGTCATCACAAAAGCGACAGAGGTTGGAGAGCTGTTTCAGATGTTCTTGTAGCTGAATTTTAGGAAACCGTACTTTGTAAAGAGGTGCAAGAAAACCAAAAACATAGGCATCCAAGGTAGAAGGCCTAGAAGTAAATTAAGGATTTTTAAGCACGTAAGAAAAAATTAACTAAAGGCTGGGTGTAGTAGCTCATGCTTGTAATCCCAACACTTCGGGAGGCAGAGGCAAGAAGATCACTTGAGGTCAGAAGTTTAGAGACAAGCCTGGCCAACATGGTGAAACCCCGTCTCAACTAAAAGTATAAAAACACCGGGTGTGGTGGTGGGCACCTAGGTTCCCAGCTACTTGGGAACCTGAAGCAGAATTGCTTGAACCCAGGAGGCAGGGGTTGCAATGAGCCAAGATCACGCCACTGGCACTCCATCCTGGGTGACAAGAGCAAGACTTTGTCTCAAAAAAAAAAAAAAAGAAAAGAAAAAGAAAAGAAAATATTAAAGATTTTTTAAGCACATGAGAAAATATTAACTTGGGATTGTGTTTAAATTTTTTTTCAAATTTCTCAATTCTGAATTACACAACAGTCTTTTAAAAGGTTTACTAACCATTTTAGTTTATAAAAATGATGCAGCTAAGGTTTTACTCATTGAGTAGCTTAGACTATTTTATTTAGAAGAAAATGAAACTGTCATTATAGATTCATTTTTACTCAAGTGTTAAATAGATTGGAGGTAGAGTGGGAACAGTCTTAGATGTTTTCAATTCACATTTACAGCCTATTAAGTCAATATTAGATTATCACTGATAGAAAAAGTTCCCTATAATAAAAACTGATTAAATCTTTTTTTTTTAAGTGAAAAACTCATCTTTTGGGGAGATAAGAAGACTTGCTTTAAATAGCTGCTCACTGAATATATGTGCACAAAATATCAGAATGATTTTTAGGGGAATACTCACGTATTTCCAAAGAAAAACTGAGATGTTCCCAATCTGTTTGATAGAAGATTTAGGCACTCCTTGGCATCTCTGTATATCTAATAAGGATGAAATTGTATCTCAAAAATAGAAAAGATACTCTAAACTATCTTTGAGGCTGACATCTCTAGGTAAAATCATTTCTGCTATTTCTCTTGTCCTTTCTCTCTAGGGCCCTTGCTTGGAGAATAATCCATATCATACCTGTGCTTCCACTTCTCGGAGGTGGTAGAGGGGAGGCTGTCCTCTGGTCAGGAGAATCCTGTTCAGTGCTCCCCTAGACATTCTTCCAGGCAGAATCAAACTCAAAGGAAAGGGAATTTGTGAAGCAAACCATGGCTTTGTCACAGTAAAGTAATTGTCACTCTCAACCCAGAATGTGTGAAGCTGCAAAAGAAGAGAAAAAAAACACTACAAAGATGTTCTTTTATTAAAAGACCACTCAACGTGAGTTTTTCATAAATAATCTTTATATAAGTGACTTCATACAAATTTTCCAGTTAGAATGACTCAGGATAAAACAAGATTATTTTAAATGTGTGAGTTTTGTTGACTGCTATATCCCAAGCACCCAGAACAAGGCCTGACACATAGCAGGTGCTCGATAAACATTCAGTGAATGAATGAATTGCACCCAATTCTATATTTGGAGCAAAAAGATCCATCTCCCACAAAGAATTTCCAAAATGACATTTTCTTTTACTTTGTTGTTTCACATACTAGTTGAATGCCTAAGAGAATCCAGTTTCACAGTAATATGAAGCAATCAAGATTAACATGTAAGTAAAACTTTCTCTTAAGACTTTTCTCATTGATTTTCTTCTAAGCAGACTATGTACATTTGCAACTAGGCCACTAAAATCCTATAATATTTAAGAACACTCACCACTGCAGGGAGAAGCTTCTCTTCAAGGAGAGCAATATAAGCTAATGTATCTGCCCCTTGTTTTGCTGAGAGTTCATAATCAGCATTATATTTCTATAAAAAAATAAATAAATAAAACCAAAGAAACTCAGAAGTCGAAGAATCCCAAAGACAGTAAAACTAATCAAATCAGGATTCCTGTATTTCCTCACAAGTGGCAAACATGGTATTAAAATGGGGGAAAGAGAAACTACAAACCCAGTGAAACCTATTGCTTAATGCACATAAAGTTCTTAGCACGGCATCACAGACACAATACGGTCAATAAATGTTATAATTTATTAACTACTATTATTTTCATGCTTGTAAATGACCTAGTTCAGTGCATGGCATGTAGTACAAACTTAATAAAAGCAATTAATATTTTTAACAAGAGGGAAACAGTTCCAATTGGCTGTGTTTCTCCTCATTAAAAAAGAAAAAAACCTTCCAATTTATAAAAGTTCAAAATTTGCTTGACACAATTTTTTTTAAAGTACAGTATGGGCAAAACCAAGATAACTTTTGCCTTTATATAAAATTTTACATGTTTAAACATTTTGGATACATAACGCTCTACTGTTAAAACATTTAGATATATTATCGAGCTTTTTAAAAATGAAATATAGTTGCTGGTTGGTGGGAACTCAGATGTTGTGCCCAGCACAAAATGTGTACCAACTATGTGACAAAATAGACAATCCTGTCAGTAAGTGTAATAGTGAAAATGGCTAAATCTACTTACATACAAATTTCAATAAAATGCAAGCAAAGTGTATTAAAATATAAATTGACTCTACCTCATCATGACTTTCAAATCACAGATACTCAAGCTTTGCAGTAGTGATTCTCAAATCTATCAAATCTATTTTTAAATCATATCCCAGGTATCTCCAATTGTCTAATGAGTGTGGAAAAAAAAAAAAAAAGCCCAACATGAGGGATCAATAATCTACCAATCTACTTCTTCTTCAAAGTGAACCACCCACCTGTTTTCTTAAAAAGTTTAGTATTTTTGCTGGCTGAGAAACAATGTTGTCTTCAGTTGTCAAAATTGGTACATCGCCTATAATCAAAAAACAGTTTATATACAAGGACACAATGTGATTTCCTCTGAAGAGATTCCAATACCCTAAAAACTATAGCAATTGCACATTTAGAGGGGGAAAAAATGAGTAAGCTTGTCGTAGTTTTTTTGCAGTTTCACAAAGAGTGGTTCTAGAGAACATTTTCATTTCTCATAATTTCCAGTGATTTGGCTTGCACTTTGAGGTATTACTCAGAATGATCAAACCATAAGCAACCAGAGCCAAGGTCACCGTAAGAAATTAAATCTTCAATGGACTCTATAGCTATATACCTCGTAGCTTTAAATGGAAGAAGAAAAAAAAAAGAGTGCAGAAAGGGGAGTGTAAAGGTTTACACTATACCTCTTGAACCTCTCCAGGTGTTATCTATCACATTGACTTTCAAGGGTGCACCAGAAAATTTGGCATAAGCCTGAAACAGAGTTTGCAATCAAACATTTTAGACCGAGTGCGTAATGCAAATCTTCAGAGCAGCTTTACTGCACAGCCCCATCCCCCAAAGGCAGAAGACGACTGATACTGAGACCACATCCCTCCCAGTGATCTCCAGTAGGGACGCAGGCGCCAGCTACACGGCTTTCGGGGGCTTTGCTCCCCAAAAGGTCCTGGGGATGCGGAGTACGAAGGGCACGCCCCCTGCTTCGGGGTTTCACTCCACCGCCCAGACAGCTTTGTGAGGCGAACAAAACTCGGACCCAAGCCGAGAAGCCTTGACGTTGCCGCCGGCCTTCGGCGGGGGTCACAGGCCGGGTTGGGACTCGTCGGTGGGAGGGAGCCCAGGGAGATGCAGCGTGCAGCGGCCCGGCTCTCCCGGACCCGGTAGCGCAGCGGAAAACGGGCAAGTCAGCCTCGCGCCTCTGACCCCGCCCCTTCTTCCCGCGACCTGGCCCGCGAGGCGGCCTCACCATCACCACCAGGGACTCGCTGTGAACCGATGGGAGCCCCCAGCCGCCTCCCCAGCAACTGAGCTCCAAGGGGGCCGCCATCTTGCGGGGGTCGACCTTTACTATCCCGGAAGTACTTTGCCGCCTAATTTCCGGCACGTGGAAAGGCGGGGGCGTGGCGAAGGGAGAGAAGGGCAAATTGAGGGAAGAGAACGACTGGAGGGATTAAAAAGCACTCTTAGGAGCAGCTTGGCCTAAAGGGTAAGAGTCCTGAGCCTTAAGTCAGACAGCCCCATCAGTAATTCTTCAAATATTAATATTTATTAGATCCCTAGAGTGTTCCAAAACCTTTGAACATTCAATCTGTGTGAGGCCTAAATTAATGTGTTTGTAAAATAGGGATGACATAGTATTTACAGGATTGTGGTGTTTAAAATGACATGGAGGGGAAGAACTTGGCACAAAGGAGGCACTCAGTAATTGTTCAACCCCTCTCCCATATATGTGGCCTCTGCCTGCCTTTCCATCACAATCTCAGTTCTCACCCTAGTGTTCACTGGCACCACCCTGCTTAAAAGTTAACACTATTCCTGAACATTGTCAGGTAAATTCTGCCTACCTTCAGTGCTGCTTCTTTAATCTGAAATATCTTTCTTCCCCATGCAACTGCTCCCTCGAAAATGAGCTTAACTCACCTTCCCTGTGATGCATTTACAAAGTTAGGATCTCTGGGTTCCTGCAGCCCCTTGTGCATACTTAATAGCTTCTCTCTCTAGCTACAGACCTTTTGTCTTTCACAGAAGAGGGCTAGTTTCAGAGGTGTGGGACCTGTGCTGTCACACAAGGCTCCGTTCTTAAAACGGCTCCTCATTTGGCTGATGCTCTTCCATCACTGTCTTGAAATTCTTAAGTTTTGACAGGGGGCTCTATTTTTATTTTGGACTGGGCCCAGCAAATCATCAAGCCAGTCATGTCAGTGGGCCTAATGAGCACGAACTAAATGTTTCTTAACATTAAACCTGACAATTTCTCAGAAAAACTATTAAAGAGGAAATTTGGGTCTTGGAAATGCTATGATCCAAGCATAATGACTGGGTCTCAGAGTTAGAACTTTGATGCTGTGTCTTTTTCCTAGAAGATGCAGTAGTCCTTCTGGGATACCCTCCCAGTCATGCCTCTGAGTTCTTTCCTTTTCTCTATCCCACGGAGATGGTTGGGTCTCTTTAAACAACTAAAACTGAAAAGAAACCTCTACAACTTTTCGTAAAATTATTCAACAGATATTTGCTAGGCACTCCCTTACTGTTTACATAGTCATCTAAATTACCCTGCCAGCCTGCTAAAGTCTTTTTTACATGTTTCAAAAACAAGGGTTCTTAGAAATGAGAGATAAGTCAGAGATGAAAGTTCATTAATAATAACTGTGTAACTGGGAAATGCTTCACATATGTACCATTAAAACTATCGAAACATTTATTGAGCAGCTCCTATGTCTAAGACATTATAAGGCTCTGGAACAATACAGAGATACATAAAATATGAATGCTGTCCTCAGGAGTTTACAGTTCACAAAGGAGACATACACACAGCAAGATGTAACAAGTCAGATAATCATGAGTGGGTTTAGAAATAGAAGTAAAATGCTACAGAAACACAAAGGAGGGACAGTGCATCCTCTGTGTGATCAGTGGAGACTGTCTGTTGAGTCTTCAATATAAAGAAAGTAATTCAACTTTCAGATTCAAGTAATGGAACCTCCCTGTTTTGAGCATTAAAAATGCCAAGACATAGACTGACAAAGGTAAGGCAGGGGAAAATTCCTAAACTGTAAAGCACAGAGTCCATATACTACAATGAGGCATTTAAAACAGTCATACAGAAAGAATGTGGATTTCCTGAGTCTTGTTTGTAGCAGGACTGAGAGAAGTAGATGAACATTCTTAGTGGACACATAACACAATTACTCAGTTTGGCCTTCTCCTATACTGCTGCTGCTACATACAGTGATTTCATTTGCATTAAAGAGAAATTAAATCTCTTCCCTTAGTGTTAAATTAAGACAGAATAGCATGTCATTGCATCTGATGAAAGAATCCTTACACACAGGTTTATTAGTGCAGAGTTAATAGCAATCTTTTATTGCTGCAGTTCCTCCCAAGAGTCTGTATCTGTTAGATTGAATTTTAAAACTCTAACATAGCTGATTGCACAAACAGCCTGAATACTGTTCCAGAGAACCGCACAGAAAACTGAAACCTTCAGAAATTATGCCTGGTATGGGTAGTTGGCTCCTGTGCGTTTTCCTGGCTGCTAAAGAGTATTGTTCAGAGTTCATCAAAATCATAATTTCAGATTCCTACTGGGAAGAATACTATCTGCAAGACATCCATGTATGTGTGGGATGACCTGAGTCACAGCTTTATAATGAGTATCCCAGACAATGTTTTCCCCCAAAAAGAAATCTTATTTTTCAAAAGATGATCATTAAAATGGTTTTATTTGATGATAGTCATCTGAATTCAGGCACTCTGACCTTGGCATCCATTCCTGTCCTTCGTGTGTTTCTTAACTTGGGAGCCATGGTGCAAGGTTTGTTGGGCTTTTTTTGTCTGGATGATTAAGAATCTGGGAAATGGTGCTGTTGGGAAAGATGAAAGATTTGTGACAAGTGATAGTGCAGTATTTGGTCCCATATGGGAAAATTGTAGAGTCTTAAATATTCCTTTGAACTTGAAGATTCTGTAATTCGTGTTCAGATATAAAATCCTTAAGGAGAAAAAAGAACAAACACTGAATACAAGTCAGGAGAGCTAAGTTCTTGACTTGGCCTCTGATTAGCCATATTCACTTGAGCCCATCATTTTACATTGATTCCTCTGCTTGTTCATTTATAAAGCAAAAGTTCTTTTATCTCTGAGACCCTATCATTTTATGTGTAATGAACATTTAATAATTTCGGACATTTATGGAGCAATATCTAAATGCTAGAAGTTGTTTCAAGTATCTAACATAACTTACTTGATCTCCATAATAACTCCATGACACAGGTACCTTCCTAAGGTTAACTAACATCTTTGTGTCCCTCCTTGAAAATAGAAGAAAATATCGGTACTCATATAGCCAGTAGCTGGTAGAATCGGGATTTGAAACTTGGCAGTTTTGGTTCAGTTTATACTATTAACCACTGTGTCATATTGCCTCATGTAGCCTCCTAAGTAGTCCGTTAAAAAGCCCAATTTCACTCAAAGTGAAGATATCAATGCCATGATATTACGGTTATTACTTATGTAAATAATATTTATTTAGTATTATACCATTAAACAAATTCATTAAGCAGCTTCTGTATGCCTTGCATACCGCAAGGCTGTCAGGGAATAAAAACTCATGTTCATGGCTGGGCACGGTGGCTCACACCTGTAATCCCAGCACTTTGGGAGGCCAAGGTGGGCAGATCACAAGGTGAGGAGTTTGAGACCAGCCTAGCCAATGTGGTCAAACTCCATCTCTACTAAAAATACAAAAAATTAGCCAGGCATGGTGGTGCATACTTATAATCCCAGCTGCTCAGGAGGATGAGACAGGAGAATTGCTTGAACCCAGGGAGCAGAGGTTATAGTGAGCAGAGATCACACCGTTGCACTCCAGCCTGGGTGCCAGAGCAAGATTCCATCTCAAAAACAAAAACAAAACTCATGTTTGCCTGTAATCCTAGCACTTTGGGAGGAGGATCACTTGAGCCCAGGAGTTCAAGACAAGCTTGGGCAACATGATGAACCCTTGTCTCAACAAAAACAACAAAAATTAGCTGAGTATGATGGTGTGTGCCTATAGTCTCAGCTACTCGGGAGTCTGAGGTAAGAAGATCACTTGAGCCCAGGAGGAGAAGATTGCAGTTAGCTGTAATTGAAGAAACTTATTTTCGAGCTTTAAGAGGCACAGTTGATGAAACAAGGCCCACATATTGAACTAACTAGAGACTATTAGGAAGTACCATTCAAGAATACAAGTCTAATATGATTTTAGACAAAGGCCTTAATGTAGTGCAATGCTTGGCAAAGGCCTAATGAAAGAAGTTAAGATGCTAGCTGATCTTGAAGGGTGGGTACATTGCATTTAGACTGGCAGAGGGTAAGGCATTGCCTGTGGGCTGTGCTACATGAGTGAAGGCATAGAAATGGGACTGACCATGGCAAGGAATCTGAAGATGAATAAATGAATGCTAGATTTGGTTATAAGCTGGAAGCTGCTCAGGGAGTGTATTGACTAACTTGAGAACCAGAATTGGAAGACATGGGAATTTGTAGTTTTGAGAAAGTAAAGAAGACAAGTCCAAATACGATGTTAGTGAGTTTACATAGTCAAGGATGGGAGGTAGACAGCCATTGATACATGGACATTATAAGAAGAAGCATTTTATAAACCCATAAACTGTATTAAACAAAGTAAAAATATGGTAGCAAAGAGAAAATGCTGCCGAATATTATTGGAGGAAAGTCACTTGACACCCTTCCACTGAACATGTTTTATAGAGGAGGTTGTTAGAAATCCAGTGACCAGGGATTACTGGAGAAAAAGGTATAAACAATAAGGACAGGTGTAAGAGCATGCGGAATAGGAAAGATAAAGGAAGAAGAGAAATGGGACAGGAGTAAAAGGCTCAAGAAAGATTTGAAAGAGACGAGAGGGTGAAACTACACACAAATGAAGACAAAATTGGCTGTTAGTGAGTAAAAGCCTGAAGATGCTAGAGAGAAGGATGGGATCCTAGGAATTGCCCCAAGAGTTGAGGCTGAGATCTGGAGCTTGAGCAGCGGGGCTGGCATTGAAAATGAGAGACATGCTTTCTTGCTGACACTGGAGGAAATTTCAAGGGGAACTGTGGGATACTGAGTACATCAAATCAGTTACCTTCAAATTTCCTTATTACATTATCAAAAGTGCCTGAGATAAAGAGATTGGGGCTTTAAAAAGACAACTGGCCACAGTGGCTCAAACCTGTAATTCCCAACACTTTGGGAGGCCAAGGCAGGCAGACCACTTGAGAAACACTTGAGGTCAGGAGTTCCAGACCAGTTTGGCCAACATGGTGAAAAATGGTCTCTA